CCACTAGTCTACACGGATGTGAGCACTTCTAACCTTTCCCCTCCCCTCTTCCAGCGTCCAGAGCCCCCCTGACCTGGGCTTCGAGGTGATCAGCGACCAAGAGGTGGCCGAAATCCAGGAGGCCTATGCCTTGGGGGGGCTGGTGGCGGTGGCGGACCGCGTAGAGGGCAGCCTGGAGGCCCTTTGGAGCACCCATGTGGACCTGGCCCTCGTCGTGGAGGAAGGGGAGAAGGAGGGGGCCACCCTGCTGAAGGACCTGTGGGGGGTGGAAGCGGAGTCCCCCCCAGAGACCCCCGCTCCACACCCGTTTCCAGGCTACCCTAACGTGACCCTCTGGGAGCTCCCATTGTGTGACCCGAAGGCTGTGGACGTGGCCCGCTTCGACGCTGTCCTGCTCCTGTCCTCGGGGCCCTTTGGGGAGGGTCTGCTCCACCTGGCGAATGTGGCGACCGCCCGAGGAAAGCCCTGCTTCTTCATCTGCTTGGGGGTGGACAGCCACCTGAATGCCTTGCAAGACAAAAAGGCAAAGGAGGATGAAGAGGAGAAGGAAGATGCTCTCTTGGCGGGGCTCCGGGTCAAGTGCCGCTCCCGCCTGACCCAAGCGGGGATCCCCGCGGCAGAGGCGCCTCTCTTCCTGTTCAGCGGATGGCAGTCCCGCCACTCAGACCTCCCGGCCTTGGAGGAGGCGCTGGAGCGAGGGCTCCCGGGACACAAAGGCCAGGCTCTGCTCCTGGCGCTGCCCTGCACCTCCCTGGCCCTGGCTGAGCGCAAGCGGCAGGCCTTGCACCGCGAAGCCTGGAAGGTGGCTCTGCTGTCCAGTCTGGTGGCCACCGTCCCTCTGCCAGGACTGGCCTCCGCCTGCGACGTCCCGCTCTTGCTGCGCACACTGTCCTCGTACCGACGGAGCCTCGGCTTGGATGCCGCCTCGCTGGCCCGCCTCTCTGTCCGCTCGGGAGTCCCACTGCCTCTGCTGCGGAGAGAGGTGCACAGTGCCGTGGGGCGTGGAGTCAGCCAGGAGGCGGTGGAGGGGCTGCTGGCGGGGCAAGGGCCGGGGCACGCGGGGCTGGCCCTGGCCCACCTCCTGGCCCACCGCCTTCCCATCTGCGGGGCCCTGGCCTCGGGCGGCCTCTCCTTCCACGCCACCTACGCCCTGCTGGGCCACTGCCTGGAAGAGATGGCCGACGACGCCCAGCGCCTCCTCAGCAGAGCCTGGCAGGGCAGCAGCAGTGTGGGGACTGAGGTGGGTCACCCACCAATGTGATCCTTCCTGCAGCACAGGCAGACCTGTAG